TGTCCCCAGAAGGAAAATCAAATGCCTGTTTCCTCTCCTTCCTTCCGCTTTTATCCCTTTTGGCTCCTCTTCCCTTTCCACCTCCCTCTCATCTTCCTGTTTTCTTCTCTCTCCCATTCCAGTTCTAAACTTCAACCAACTCCCTTTCTCCAGTCAGTCATTCTATTCTAATTTTCAAAGCTGCCAAAAAAAAAAATCCATATGCATGGAAATAAACACAAACCTGAAACCCATAATGGAACATTCTCTGGTGGTTTGTTTAGGGACCGCACCTGCTTCTCTTCTGTGGCCCATGCAGTACTGGGGATTAAACCCAGGCCTTCTGTGCGCAAAGCATGTGCTCCAGTCATCTGAGCTATTTCTGACTCAGGAACAAAAATCCTTATTTTAGCTTTTAAATAAAAAGATTTCAGGGTCTGTTGTTTTAGCTTTGTATTGTTCATGCTTATTTGCTCTTCCCTTCAGACCTCCCTACTTCAAAGACTATGTCCAAAACTGGTGAGGATAAAATTCAAGACTTTTAGCTGGGCATACAAGTATTCATGAAGAACTCTTGCCTATGAAGAAATTCTACTTGCTTCAAATCTTACCGCTTCTTCATGTGTATCTTTTTTATTCCAATTACATCAAGCTTTGTAACTACTCTAAAAGAAGCACAAGCCTTCAGGGAGTGTTTTTATACATTCTTCCCTCTAGCCAAAATGATCTAGCCATCTAAGCCCCATTCTTCTAGGCTTACTTCTGTTTGTCCTCTAAGTCATAGCCCAAGTTTTACCATTTCCAAGCAATTTGGATAAGACATATTTTTCTATGTTTTTGTGATGCCTTATGCAGCTATTGTAGCCTTTGTATCATTCTACAATGATATAATTCTACAATATACAGAAGGTTATGAGTCTGCTAGACAGTAAAATCCAGTTTAAGTAACTGTCTCAAAGTTTAGCACACTATAACTATTCATTACACTGAAGCTTTCCAAAATTCTGATTATTAGTTCTGCTCAGGTAGCATATTTCTTTTCTTTGCTGCACTAAAGAAGGCTCTACCACACAGCCAAAATTAAACTGGAGTTGCTGGAACATATGACTGAAACCCAATCATGAATAACTTTGTAACTGTTTTATCTCACTGTGATTCAATTTTAAAAGTGGAAATATTTACTGCATTGCTTTCAGAGGAAAAAAAAATAAAAAGTTCTCTATCATTAAGAGGGGGAAAAAAGCATTAACAGAATGACTTATGAAATGAGGCACTAGTTTGATGAAATGAAACAAATTTTAGTAGTCTCATTTGATGCAACAGTTAAAGACTCATCAAAACATTTTACTGTTGGCCAAATTTACAGCTGATAACATGTATATGACAACTTCTAGCAATTTTTAAAAAATGGGTTAAGCTGACCAGAGATGGCTCAAAGAACTGAGCACATACTTTGCATATGAGCAGCTCAGGTTTGATTCCTGACCTGTCTGGTTCCCCAAGGGACACCAGGAATGAAGCCTTAGCAACAAGCTGCGAGGACTCTCAAGCACCATAACCAGCTATAGAAAACAAAATATTTCACAATGCCTTTTCAGCAATTCTGATTATTGGGGGGGATTCTAAGCAATAATGGTGCATCTTTTGTCGAAATAATGAATGTAATCAATGTAGAGAAGAGCTACGTAGAAATCATCTGCCTCACAGGCATTGGGAGGTGTGGGAGGGGGATATATTGGGGTTCTTGATGGTGAAAAATGAGTACTAGTGAAGGGAAAGGTGTTTGATCATTGTATGACCAAGACTTAAACCTGAGAGCTCTGGAAAGAAAGATGGCGGCCGCACGGGAGCCTTGTGGAAAGCAGGTTTGAGCCGGGGCTGGCGGGAGCGGCGGGAACCTCATGGGAAGGGGGGCTTTGTGGGCCGTCCCCCACGCCCCACCGAGGTCGCCAGCTGCCCCCCACGAGCGGCTCTCCGGCACGGCCACGACTCCAGGGCACAGAAACCAATCTCTTAACTAGCTAACTTTTAATAGAAATTCTTCCAGGGTCAATAAGTAAAATAGCAGAAATTCAAAACCGCGCGACATCATTTTATTCTTAAACCAAGTTGTAGAAAGCAAATCATTTCACAACGCTGTTTCAGCATGTCTGATTGTGGGGGGTGGGTCGTAAATTCTAAACAATAATTGTGCATCTTCTATCGAAATAATCTATCTAGTCAAAGTAGATAGAGTATTAACTAGAACTCATCTGCCTCACAAGAATTAGGAGGGGTGGGAGGTGGGGGTCTATTGGGGTTCGGGGTTAAAAATGAGTATTGGTAAAGGGAAATGTGTTTGGTATCTACATGACTGAGACCTAAACCCGAAAGCTCTGTAACTTTTCCCACAGTGATTCAATAAATAAATAAATTATAAAAAAAAAAAACTTAAACCTGAAAGCTTTGTAATTTTTCCCATAGTGATTCAATAAATATAAGAAAAAAATAAAATTATGGAAAAAAATTATTAAAAGAATAATAATTTCTATTCTTATTAAAGAATATAAAATAATCAAATTAAAGGAACTCAGTTCTCTTTAGTATTTTCAAGAAGATAATATTGAAACAGTTAACATTTTCACGTTTATTATTCTTTTTACATTACAATATATAAGGGCTGGAGCAATAGTACAGTGGGGAGGGTGCTTTCCTTGCAAGAGGCTGACCTGGGTTAGATCCCCAGTATTCCACATGGCTTCTTAATACCACCAGGAGCAATTCCTGAGTGCAGAGCCAGGAGTAACCTTTGAGTATTACTATTTGTGGCTCAAAAATCAAAACAAAAAAGGGTAATTCTTCTATGAGACAGAAAGCATGAACCTGAATCTATATAAAGTAAATGAACACCTATTTGTTAATACCTAGTTACTACAAGCTATATAGCTATAGCTATCCACTATATAATTGATTTAAAATAAAGTTCTTCCTTTATTCTTCGAGACAGTAGTCCAAAACAATGAAAACATAAAAGTATTCCTCTCATTTGCCATCTACTACCTCAAGCAAACAGGATTTCTTCCCTTTCCTCTTAAAAAAAAAAAGAAACAAATCATTTCTATTCTAATAATATCACAAAGTTGCTAGGATTAAATGGGATAATGTAAGCTCCATTGCAACACTCACTTAAGAGAGGAAAAATGACTTGACTGCCTGGGAGCTGGCAGCAGGTTCTGGGTATGATTAGTCTTCTTTTCCTGCTCTGTAACTGTTTACTTGCACAAAGGGCCCCGTTTACTTAGAAACTTTCTCTTCCCTTTGTTGCTATTACTGCAGTAACTGAAGGCTGCTAATGACTGTGGTACTTGCACACTTGATAGTAGTGCAGATACATGTGCTGTATGCAACACTTACCAGGGGTCATCATACTTTTCTCAGACACCTTGTGCTCCAGAGAGGGAACACTTGGCTGTGACACCAGAGGTCACAGTGAAGCTAGGACCACACTAGGAGCATATGGACAGTACTAAGGATCAAACACATGGCCTCAAGCTTGCAAGACAGCTACTGAACCACCCCCAGGTCTCAATTCATGGACTATTTTCACTTGAATAATGAACATCAAACTCAAATTAATAAACTGTTTTGTCATTTGAGAAGCCAAATAGAACAATTTTTGTCTGCTCTTTTGAATTCAGGTATAAATCATAAGGAAGTAATGATAAAACTACACTTAATGAAAATCTTAAGTAAAAATTTTCCTATCACTAAAGGGAAATCAAAGTATATGTGAGGCACATACATGACTGAATTTAAACACATACAAATGTCATTACTTATGGCACTGTAGCACTGTCCTCCCATTGTTCACTGATTTGCTTGAGCAGGCACCAGTAATGTCTCACAGCAAATTGTGAAACTTGTTGTTACTGTGTTTGGCATATCGAATATGTCACGGGTAGCTTGCCAGACTTTGCCGTGCGGGCAAGATACTCTCGGTAGCTTGCCGGGCTCTCCGAGAGGGGCAGAGGAATAGAACCTGGGTCAGACGTGTGCAAGGCAAACGCCCTACCTGCTTTGCTATGGCTCCAGCCCACTTTTTATGGCAAGGTTAGCAAACTACAATTTTCATTTACCACTTCCCAGCACTAGAGACTGCAATCAAAACTCCAATTACTATATATTTACAAAGTTCTGCTTACTCTGCTCTTTCTCACATCCTAACACAAAACAATTATAGTAATTTACCACACAATAAAGATGCTGGGAAATTCTTTGGCTCTGCAGTTTACTTCTGGCAATCAATTCCAATTCGCTGATTTTTATTTATTTACTTATTTATTTTGGTTTGGGGGCTGTACCTAGAGACACTAGGGGATCGTTAAGTAGTGCCAGGGAACAAACTGGGAGTGGCTACAGGCAAAGCAAACACCCTATCTCCTGTGCTACCCTTGATTTTTAAAATCATTTTTAATTTTTTATTTACTGTTTTTGAGGCCACACCCAGCAGTGTTCGGGGACTACTCCCAGCTCGGGAGTCACTACCAGCAGTGCTCCAGCCCTTTAGGCTCACTCACTCTATGGCCTGACTCCTTCACTTCATTTGTTTATTTATTTATTTATTTATTTTTAGGTCACACCTGGCGATGCACAGGGGTTACTCCTGGCTCATGCAGTAAGGAATTATTCCTGGCGGTGCTCAGGGGACCACATGGGATGCTGGGAATCGAACCCGGGTCAGCAGTGTGCAAGGCAAACACCCTACCCGTTGTGCTATGGCTCCAGCCCCGTGATTCCTTCACTTTAAAAAATCAGTAGAAGCTAAACAGGAAATTATGAAATGCTCAACATGTCTTTTGGATTTTTTCAAACTCATCCACCTTTGAATTTAGTCTAGAAATTCTGACTATTGCTCTTAAAATGTTTCAAATTTTACTTTATCACAAGTGGTCATATAGGAAACATCTACAATTTAGTACTGTTTAGAAAAGGTAAGCAAGCTAATAAAAAAGACTCCATATTTAACACACATTCTTACTTACTACACAAAATTGGAGAAGATGGTGTTTGCAGGGTCAAAGTAGAGCCATCTTTTCTTGTGATATTAACGCGAAAAACCAATCTGGCACGAGTGCTTTTTTTCTTGGAACCAGCAATTCCTATTCTCGCTTCGACATCAGCATTCCTCAATTTCAAGATTCCTACGCAGTCCACCCTATTACACATACACACACACACACATATGCACACAAAATACGTTAATATAGTTTCTATTGTATACTGTTCTTAGTAATCTCTTTTCTACTCTGTATTTGTAATGCAATCATAAGTTTTCAAATTAAAAATGTACATAAAGATAGCACTGTAACACTGTCCTCCATTGTTCATCGATTAGCTCAAGCGGGCACCAGTAACGTCTCCATTGTGAGACTTGTTACTGTTTTTGGCATACTGAATATGCCACGGGGCATTTAAAAAATATAACACCCAATCTTTTCAACTTTTGTGTATAATAATGGAAAAAATAGTAAAGATATAAAATCACTATTTTAAAATCTGATTTACAATAAAAGATGCTTTAGTTGTGTTAAATAAGCTTAGTGTTGTTCTTAGTGCACTCAGATACTATGCAGATACTGTTAACAGAAATTTAGTGTCGGGGGCAGAACAATATACAGCGAGTACAGCATTTGCCTTGCATGTGGCCTATTTAAGTTCGATCCCTGGCACCCAATATGGGTCCCCATGCCTTGCCAGGAGTGACTCCTGAGCCCAGAGCCAGGATTAAGTTTTGAGCACTGCCAGGTATGGTCTCCGCCCCCCACCTACCCACCCCCCCAAAAAAAAATTCTTGTCAAAAATATAGGTCACCGCTGGAACACATGCTATGCAAGTGTAAGACCCTGCGTTTGGTCCCTCATACAATATCTAAACCCCTCCAAAAATAGAGTACCAGGATATTATTATTTTTTTTTAGTGTAGGAAAACAAAAACAAAGACAAAAGGTGAATCTAGATCAAAAAAGTTTTTCACATCAAGATGAGTCATCACACCAAGAATGATGTCTGTTAAACAGTTTTTCTTTTTTTTTTTTTTGTTTCTGGGCCACACCTGGCAATGCTCAGGAGTTACTTCTGCCTCTTCACTCAGGAATTACTTCTGGTGGTGCTGGGCATGGAACCAGGAATCACACCTGGTCGGCCATATGCAAAGCAAGCACCCTGCCCGCTGTACTATCTTTCCAGCCCCAATATTCTGCACTACAAATTAAAATCTCTCCTGCCATTTGCAAAGTTGTGCTGTAAGTGAGAAATATTCTCCTGAGTACTCACGCCAGAGTCATGTTGTTGCTTGGGTCGAGGCCGACTTCAATGACAGTAGTGCCTTCAATGTCAACTTCTTTGCAGGGGGTTGTATTTCGCCCGGTTACTCTGCAGGCCTGATAAAATCCGTGGGGTTTTACTCGACCAGAGTCATTGCCCACGAACACCTGAAGCACCACTGGCTCATTATGGCCTTCCAGCTGTAGTAAGAGACCATGGAATTGAAACATTAATTAGCCTTTCAAATAATGTTACTGTAAAATCTCTCTCCCCTCCCACTTTTCCACTCCTAACCCCCTCCATTTTGTGTTTGGTTTTTTTTTTGTTTGGTTTTTTTTTTTTTTGCTTTTTGGGTCACACCCAGCAATACACAGGGGCTACTCCTGGTTCATGCACTTAGGGAATTACTCCTGGCCTTGCTCAGGGAACCATATGGGATGCTGGGAATTGAACCTGGGTCAGGCCGCCTGCAAGGCAAACATCCTACCCACTGTGCTATCACTCCAGCCCCTTCATTTTGTGTTTGGACCATATCCAGCGACTGCTCCTGGCCATGCTTAAGGGACCATATGCGAACTCAGGGACTTAACCAGCATGTAAGGCTTGCAAGGCCTTACCGACTCTGTACTATCTCTCTGGCCCTTAATTTCTTGTATTTATAATAAAATTTAGATAATATCAAGGTGATGATATTCTGCTCACAATTTAGCATATTTTTCATGTATATAAATAAAATTCATATATATGTATATATTATATATATGAACTTTACCTTTCTATTGTGGGTAGTTGGCTAGTTAAAAACTAAATGCCACGAGTTGGGAAGATAGCAGTGTAGGGTGCTGGATGCCTTGAATGCGGCCAACATGGGTTCGATTCTTGGCATCCAAAAAGACCCCCAAGCACTGTCAGAGGTAATTCCTGAGTGGGAGCCAGGAGTAAATCCTGAGCATAGCTGGGTGTGATGATACACGCCCCCACCCTTGTCCCTGTCAAAAAAAAAAAAAAACAAACCACAAGGGGCTGGAGCAATAACACAGCGGGTAGGCGTTTGCCTTACACGCGGCCAAGCCGGGTTCGATTCTCAGCATCCCATATGGTCCCCCGAGCACCTCCAGGAGTAATTCCTGAGTGCAGAACCAGGAGTAACCCCTGAGCATCGCTGGGTGTGACCCAAAGAGCAAACAAAGAACAAAAAAAACCTCTAAATGCCAACACCACCATGAACATACTGCCTAAACCGTTAATAACTTTAAAGAAGCTAGTAAGTAAAACAAGACATTTTTTGTATGTTGCTGAATGAAGTAAGCACCTTCACTGTAGGAAAGCCTTGCTGTGTTCTATCCTTCACAGAACCACGGCTACCCTCAGTCAGGTACCGAGCTCGGTGCTGGGTCTCAGGCTGCACAACAATCTTCAGCTCCTTCCCCTCGCTTTTAACAGGATACTGTCCACACAACATAGGGCTCTTCTTTGCTCCAGTTCCTTTTTGGTTTTCTAATGTTCTGAGAAGTCAAAGAACAACATGGAAACAGATCAGAGAGTTTTCTATTAAGTTAGCGAAGATAAAGGAAGAAACAGAATAGACAATAATATTAAAAACTACCGACAAAATAAAACAAAATCCAAGGGAATATACATTTAATTAGGTAAAATATCTTTAAAATTTTATAATAAAGTTTAACTATGAGATGCCAAACAGAGTGACTAAGCTGGACAGGGGAGATAAAGAAGGAACAATGTGTGGTAGGAGAAAGATTAAATGCACAAACTGGGAATAACAGGAAAGAGAATAACTAATGTCACTATAATCTTTCATGTACTTCAGTCAAAATAAAATTCTTAAATTACCTATTATATGAAGCAACAAGATCAACTATAATTATTTTTAATGGGGCTTGCAAAGCAAAAGAAAAGTGCGGTGATAAAAAGAAACAAGTAAAGACCTTTTAAAAAAAACCTAAGCTACAGGGGCTGGAACAATAGCACAGCGGGTAGGGCATATGCCTTACATGCGGCCAACCTGGGTTCAATTCCCAGCATCCCATATGGTTCCCTGAGCACTGCCAGGAGTAATTCCTGAGTACTGAACCAGGAGTAACCCCTGTGCATCGCTGGGTATGACCCAAAAAGCAAAAAAAAAAAAAAAAACAAAACAAAAAAAAGAAAGAAACCTAAGCTACAGGCAACATATTCTTTTGGTTATTTTCTCTGTATCTGAAAGAGAAAATTATAATAAAAGATGAGTAATTCAACTTTTAGTGGAAAATTAGCTTTAGTCTACACAAGTTTTTCCTAGATCTGCAATTTTTATGATTAAATAAATCTCCTGGTCTATACAAATTTTATAATCTGAGCTTTAAGGTGGAATATATAATTTTAAACTATTTCTAAGATCAATTTAATATATTTTCTATATGAAATGTATGTTTAAAGAAAAGCACTTCAAATGATAGAATTCCATGCTGTACAACTAAGTTGAAACATAATAAACAGAAAATACTGCCAGTTTTTTTTTTGCTTTTTTTTGGGTCACACCCGTGATGCACAGGGGTTAACTCCTGGCTCTCCACTCAGGAGTCATTCCTGGTGGTGCTCAGGGGACCGTATGGGATGCCGGTGATAGAACCTAGATCAGCCGCATGCAAGGCAAGCGCCTTACCATCTCTATGGCCCCTTAAAACAGTATTTAAATAATCAACGTGCATTTAAATGCATTTAAATATTTAAAATACAGTTCAACATTATGGGATGTAGCTCAGAGGCATAGTACATGGCCTCACTTGGAAGGTGCTGGATTTGACTGCTGGTACTTGGAAATTTAAAAAAAATAAATAGTCATAGAGTCTGAGTTTATAAGGTTTTCTGAATAACCATGATGCCAAAGATCAAATCCAAGACCTCATGCATACAAAGCATGTACTCTATCACTCAATCATATCCCCTGCTCTCTATGACTCTGTATATGAAGTTTACACTCACACTGAAGATCCAGGAGCCAAGAAACAATAGTAACAAAGTTAAACTGTAAAAAGCAAACAGGCCCCAAGAAAAATATAACTTCAAACATAAAAAAAAAATTAATGGCTTAGCAACTTTAAACCTGGCTCTAATGTTCACTGTTCTAGCTCTAATTATTGTATTGCCTCAGTCATCGCGAACAGAGAGAGAAATGGCAGTACCTCACTGCTCTAAGGCTGAACTAAAACCTTGTTGTTAGGACAGGGATAGAAGAACGGAGGAAAGAAAGGATGCACAGAAAAGTATTAAGACTGACGAGGTAAGAGGGAGGAGAGTTCTGAGGATAACTACTTGTGCCCTTAAGATGTGCCCAATCACCTTCACATTCCCTGAACCTTGCACAGTTCCTGAAATAGCATTTGCTGGAAAAATATTTGCTGATGAAGGCAAACAGGAAAAAAGGGACAAAGAACAGAAAGCAGAAGGGTAAAAAAGAGAGCATCTAAAATTAAAATGAAAAAAACTAGATCCTACCTAACTGGCTAAGGAAGGCCATTCATGTAAGCCTGACATAATCAAATCATCTGAAAGATTCTAGAAGAATTAAGTTCTATAAACCAAAACATTAAACTGAAGCTGGAACAAACTAAACCTTATTTTTTTATCCTTGTGTATAAAAATTCAAACACTTGCTCTGAATAAAATATACAGTACACCCTTATAAATAATTCTGCAATGCTACTGCTTTTCGCTTATTTTAAAATCAAAGCAAAAAATTGTATCTACAGAAAATATGTAAAACCTCCTCAAATATGCATTGAAAGAAATTGAAAGAAAATACAACAAAATACTAACAACTAAAACGAATGATTAGAATGTGAATTATTTTCTTCTATTTTTGCATCTTACAAATGTTTAAAACTGGTGTATTATACAGATAAGAGAATGATTAAAATGTCAACTTGGCAAAATACAGTTTTTATATCCTCTTTCTAGTCAAGCTTATGTTTATGAGGGTAAGTAGATGATAAGGATTATTTATTATTTCATAAAACAAGATATTTCATTTGGGATAAAAACTCTTATGTGCTGGGCCACAGACAAAGCTCAGTAGTCGAGCACTTGCCTTGCATGTGTGAGAGTTCTGGGGTTGCTCCCACGGGGCACAAAACAAACCTCTGTCTGCACTGACCAGTAACTATACACATGGTTTAAGAATGCAGGTCACTGAACAGTTTCAGGAACAAATTCGTAAAAATTTCTTAAAACTACTTCACACTTAGTTTGAAAATGGAATGTATATGTTTGTACTTATCTATCACATACCAAAAAAAAAAAAAGAAGAAGAAACAAATAATTCTTAGGAGTAATCAAGTAACTTGAAGACCTTGAGAAAAAGGGCCAAGAAAAGCTCGGCCACCGCAGAGCGCATGCGCACACGCCGGCCGCCTCGGGGGGCCTGAGCTTCATCCCCAGCACCTCAAGGAATGCTGAGTACTGCCAGGAGCTCTCCGCAGCACCTAGCCAGGCTGAGCACTGCCAGGTGTGGCCCAGAGAACAAAAAGAAAAAAAATTAAGAAAACGGAAGTCGATTAGCACATGGGATTTTACTTCTGAATGATATCTATATAGCAAAGCCCTCTTGGCATATTCTATTTAGTAGTCAAATATTTCTACTTTTTTGTCCTGCTTTAGGTTTTCTATGTCACAAAAACAATTTTTACTACAAAATACCTAAAATAGGTTTCACATCCAGATGACATCATCTTTTCATTTTTAGACTATCTAGAAAAAAAAATAGTGCTACTAGTTCTTGAGACAGATGAAAAATTTTAAAACAGCATGGACTGGAATGTGTAAGTCACTAAGCAGTCTTTAAAAACATGGTTAACTTTCTTAATAAATTGAAATGTTATATAATATTTCAATAATACAAAATGCTATTTCCATAATGAAGCTCAATAAACTGTTGTAGCAACATATTTGAGACCACATTCAAAAATATTTAGCACTACATAACTGCAAATGTAAGGTACATTAGAGCTGAGGCAATATACTTTGTCTTTCAAAACATTTCTAAATTTCTTTCACTTCTAATATCTTTCTCATTGAAGAACATAATTTTTATTTGAGAGCCTCTAATTTTCAAAGAACTACTTTTCAATATATTTATAATGGTTTTATCTTTTTATTGATATCATTTTATAAATTCAAATTTTAAGCTTCCATCATTTCCATATATGCCAGTGTCAAATATTTTTCCATTACCTAAGAAGCTGGACATTTCTTCTGCTGCTTGATGAGTTTCTGTTCCATGAATTATTTCATGAGAGATTTTTGTCTTGACAAATATTATTATACTTTCCCTGGGTAACCTCAAATCATTTCTAAGATATATCTATCATACAAAAGTAGAAGCAGAAAAGATGTAGGTCAAGTTATCTCTTTAATAGCAACTGAAAATCATGTGTGTTGACTATCTCTTAAGTCAAAATCTTATCCTTCATTTGAAACTTAACATTTATTTCAGTATAAAAATTAAAATCTCTCCTGGAACTTAAAAAAAAAAGTCTTCATTATTGCCCAAATAAAGATAAACCAGTATCTGATGATAAACATAAACCTTATAGATCTGTGTTATTATGTTTAAGAGTCTGATTCTAAAATAATCTATAAATATTATGTTCTAGAATGTATCATTTTAAGAAAGATTTTCTTTTAGACTCATTTGTTAATCTGAATTTTCTAAAAGTAAAGAGTATTTAATGTGCACTTTAATTTAAATATATCACTCCAGCTGAGGATGTGGCTCAGTAACAAAGCACTTGCTTTGCATGTGTGAGACCTGGGTTCGATCCCCAGAACTACCAATAAAAAAGTGTGTACATGTAACCCCAAAGATTTTTTAAGTGAGAGCACAGAAGAAAGTACTATAGAATAATCATAGTTACTGCTTTTAAAATATAATAAGAAAGTATTTAAAGGTATCTGTATACATTAAGAATGATCTGTTAAGTCAATATTTTAAAAAATTATCAATGATGTCATCAAGTAGTAAACCAATAGTTTTTCTTTGGGGCAATTTGAAAGTGTAGATGATTATGGGCAAACTAAAGGGCCATACCTTGTCTCCCAAAAAAAAAAAATCTCTCAAATCCGGTGAATCCAGTCAAAAAGTCTAGCAATTAAGTATTAGAATGAAAGTACTGAAGAAATTGAAAAATTAAAATCGGTGATAGAATTCTATATGTCAAAGAATATAATAGTCCGAAATATATTTAAGTGAGTGGTGAATGAACTTGCGGAGTGAAAGAAAACTCAAGATGTACTAAGGTCCTGTTCTATCACCTTTCAAATAAATAATCCAGAATCACAGAAATATTAGTGACTTTCTAAAAAAATGAATTTACACATTAGGGCAAATAATCTTGAATCTTAAAGTACACAAATCTAAATGTTAATAACATTTAGATTTAGTGTATCTTGTTTCCAACAAAGATAAACAAAAGAAAGCCTGAATCCTCACAGAAACAAAATAAACTGAGTACTATGGGGAGACAGCATGAAAGAAATAAACTAGGCCTCTGTGAAAATTCTGAGTTGTTTGAGCTACAGATATGAAATGGCACTATTTCTATGACTATGAGTGTTTTAAATCCTTCAACAGTATAAATCCATTTGAAATATGTTACTTCAAACAGATTTTTTCCTGTACTTAATATTCATAAAATAAGACCTATTGCTAAATCCTATTAATAGCTTTTCTAGAATGAAACGGTGATCTAAAATTTTCATGTATTTCAGTGATAAAATTAGTATCTTTGCTTTATATGAGAACGAGCAGAGCAATTAAGGAAAGTGGGGAATGATTTTTTTTTTTTTTGCATTATGGTGATAGAACTTTAAAAAAATGCGAATACCAACCCATTTCCTGCTTTTGAGTTGCCTTTGTTGTCCGTGGTAAGCTGAGAAAGCACATAGTGAGGTGCTTTGGCACTGTCGGCATCAAATATATCCATATTAGATTCTTCACAATCTCGTCGTTTGACCCCCGGCCTCTGCTTTGGATTTCGTTTTCGTGATTTACGAGGTACCTCAGTGTTATCATTGTAGGAACTGGTGCTCATGTTACTGAAGTTGGAGGGGGAATCCTCCATCCACATACTGCAGCTCTGCTCAGATTCCAATCCACACCCCTCATCCTGGCAGGACATCCGACTGTTATCCAGCAAGTCCTCAGGTGGTGGTGAGATGTACAAGACTGTGTGCCTCTTCGGTGTTGATGGATGCTGCTGAACTGTGTTACTGGTTAACTGCTTTTCACTTACCCCTCTGTTACTTACCCCCAAGGCTGAGGAGCAGCTCTCCACTTGCATAGCCTTGCTGTCGGTGACTGAGGTAGAATAAATGGTAGGGCTGGAAGAGGTGGTAAAGGAGCTGCAAGCACCGCCCATGGAGGAAGAGGAGGGAGCTGAAGAAGCATCTGCAGTGTACAATTTAAGAGTAAATACACTATACATGTTTTCACCTATACTGGCTAGCAGTCCCATTGAAAATGTGATTTGTGAACTGATTGTTTTTCCCCAGAATGAATAGTTGGAATTTGGTCACGTTTTAGATATAAACGCTTCAAGCAATACAAGGCCTAAGAAATGCAATTTTTAAAATGTCCAAACAGCATTATTTTACTTGTTATAATTGATAAATTTTTAAAAATCTAATTTAATATTTTAAGTTGTAAAGCAAGAGTCAAGCTTTTATTGCCTCAGCCAGATGTTCTGTTGAATTTTAATCATCGTAAATAATAAAGAAAACCCCAATATAAAATATATGCTTGTGGTCCACATTCAATGCCAATTAAATAATTCATTATAGAATTTGAAAAGTGGGACTGTGCTTAGCCACAAAATATTAAAATAAGTTTCTAACCTATGAAGCAGAGAACTACAGGTCATTTTTAATGCAGACACTCCCTGCTTCAGAGGCAAATCCTGGAATAAAAATATGAGAAAATAAATGAGAAAAGAGCTGCTGATTATTCCAGATATCAATTATAAAATGAGAAATAAATAGAAAAAAAATAAAATCAACTGAATTGGAGGTAAAATGGAACTGGTACCATCAGTATGATTGCTATAAAATCTAGAGGAATGAAAGTGGGAAAGGTTTGATTTGGAAAATGCTGGACTGTAGAAAACAAGTTAATCACTTGAGGGTCTCCAGAAATTGGAAGTGGCAATTCAAAACTATGATCTCTAAAATAAATAAATCCATCTTTTATAGTAGAATAAAATGCAGAGTAAAGATCAATTATTGGATGGATTTCTTTTATAAAGTAGTTGACAACACATTTAGCAATTGATTACCACTGTCCATTTCATAACTTTTTAACATCTGTCTGATGTTAAATAGTAAAGGAATTTTCTAATGTGAGTAACAGTAAATTCATTAGCTAAAGTCTAACAACAACAAAAAAATCTCTGGAGATTACCAAAATTAGTTTCTACAAAACCATTTATTTATTCTGGCGAAAAACAACAACAACAAAGATTTAAGTAGGTCTTTTCAAAATGTAAGGCAACTGGCAGAACAGCTCACTGAAAATACTACTTTAACCTTAACAATGCAAGCTCAGAGGCATACTAGTACTGTTAAGGTTGGAAGCTGTCAGCCCTAAAATTTTAGAGAAACTACTTTCTCTTGTGTAAGATATAAAAACATTTATAATCATACACAAATAAAAAAAACAAATAACATGTGACAGACAACTGAAAAACATGCTTAACTCTAAAATTAACTTTACCTATAACTAAGTATGCCACTGTTTTAAAGTGGTCTGGTAAAATTTAAAAGCTGTGATGTGCAGTAACGGGAACTGCAACATTCATAGCAATTATATAAAGAATAAAATATAAGAATGCCAATGTTTAGGTAATAAAAAGCTAAGGATTTATTGATTTGGTTTTTGGGCCATACCCGGCAGTGCTCAGGGCTTACTCCAGGCTCTGAGCTCAGGGATCACTCCTGGCGGGTGCTGGGGATCGAACCCAGGGCGGCCACGTGCAAGGCAAGCTCCTTGCCCCCTGTACTATCTCTCCGGTCCCCAAAGATCTATTTTAAAAATGAAAACATGTACCAAAACACTCAAATCACTTGAGAGAATTTAATTCATTCATAATTTTTCATTGCAGTCAAAGCTGAAGAGAATAGTAATTAATATTAGCTTTCAATAATATAACCTATATAGTACCACATGGAAAGATTTTTCCCAACTACCATTAAGTCAGAACCTAAAACAATTAGATGATACCAGTTCCATTTTCCATTTTGTGTCCTTGTCAAATGCAGTAACTGAAATTGGAAAATTCAGTCACTTTAAACTGCATTCCAATTTAAAGAAAAATTTATCAATTTTGTCTCATGCATTAAAGCAATGTTTTCTTGTAAATTAATCTTTTTAAAGATGTGGAAAAACTACAAAATCTATATGCTAGTGTCAGTGACAGTTTAGGAGCTGATTTGTAGCCACTTTGGGTTTAAATATAAAGATTTTTTTTTCCTTTTTTTGGGGAAAAACAGTTTATTTTAGAAATTAAAGAAAAAGTATTATGTGTAACATTCCTTCATCTGTTCCAACTATTGGCAAAAATAAACCTAATTGTTTTTTGTTTATATGAGCCTATATGCTTTATTTTCAGAGAAATACAAGTATGCAGCATGTAATATTTGCAGTATAACACATAAAGCATGCAGCATTAATGCTGTGAACTTGTATTTCTGTATTTATGACTCCTTTCTCCCACCCGCCCATTTTAAATCTAAGTAACATGCACATGAGAATGCAGAATATGAACATCTCAGGGATCCCTGTCCATGACAGATGGTAAGTACAAGTGAAAAACAATCATGAACTCAAAATCAAGGTTATGTGGCACATATAAATTTAAATGGAAGATTTAACCTTATATTGCTCTTTGTTTGAGCTATGTATTATCTTATCTTTCAAATCTGATCAAAACATTCCTGGATATAAACCCAACAGATATAATCATACTAAAATGTTTGTTCTGGGACAGGTATGCCAAGCTGTGATCTCATACCCTACATAAATTAAAATATGCTACACATTTTCCTTGAATACTTAACATAAAAATTTTATATTTTACCTGAGGTTTCCTGTATTAAATAAAAAGGTTCATTAGCACAAAACTATGACACTGAAAGCAAACTGTCAGAAGACAGCAGCCAGCATCTTTTAATAAAAACATTACTTTAAAAAGTCTACCTCAGTTTGATCCTGAATTACAAAGATTCTATTCATTTTCAGACTGTAACAACTGAGGCAATTTTTTAAAACTATAAGATTGTTTCCAAGATTATCACTGTGCTCTGTTGGTGATGACAATGGAATATAAAATCTTTTATCAAGTTGTTACACTTCCTTGGGGACACTGGTAGAGGGAACAGGACAGGACACTCTGGTGGTGGGTGTGGTGCTGGAATGACGTATGCATGAAACAGTATTATACGGTAAGGTAGAATATAAGAAATGTGGACCCCTTACTATGAATAACAGATACTCTTTGTTGGGGAAGGCATCTCCTAAGCAGTGCTCAGGGGGCCCTGGGGTTGAAACAGGCTGGACAGTTCACTGTTAAGAGTCCAAGGATGTAACACTGCTAGGGCCCTTCATGCCAGGGACTACTAAGACCATTCTAGGTACTTGAGAGGCTCCAGGGCTATACGCGATGGTGCTCCAAAGACCATTCAGTATGCCCTTTAGCATGAACAAAACAGTTTAACTGACACTGTATGAAAGGACAATGCTGACGCATACTGCTTCATCTAAACTTTTCAATATTTAAGTCCCCTCTTTTTCTTTTCCTCTTTTTATTTGTCTTTTGTGCCACACCTGCTGTGCTTGGGGCTTAGTCCTGCACTCTCAGGGCCTGCATTCTGGGATCACTCCTGGTGGGCTCAGGGGACAATATGGGGTGCAGGAGATAGAACCCAGGTGAGTCGCAAACAAGGCATGTGCCTTACCCACTGTGCTATCTTTTTGACCTCAATATTTAAGTTCTTAAGAATGAAATATATTAACTACCCTCCCCTCCTTTTTTTGCTTTTTGAGTCACATTAGTGATGCTCAGGGATTAATCCTGGCTCTGCACTCAGGAATTACTCCTGTGGTGCTTGGGGGACCATATGAGATGCTGGGGATTGAGCCCAGGTCAGCCACGTGCAAGGCAAGCACTCTCCCTGCTGTACGATCCTCTGCTCCCCCTCCCTCTTTGAGTTTCCAATTTTATCTGTCAAAAATTTAGGAACCATGTTTAATTGCTATATATATTAAAATATAAACATTTTAATTTAGAAATAAAGTTTGAGTAACAGTTTTTATTGGCTCTCTGAGCAGAATAGCCATGATAATATTTCTATCAGTTTATAATTTTATCTGTTTCCTAACTCCCTCGTCAATCCTTTATAAAGTTGGATTTTTTTCTCATTTTTTTCTTAATGTTATCTCACTGAAATAACACGTGATAAAAATTTTAATGAAAATGTTATCTTTGAGCCTAGAACTTTCTTTTTCTTTTTCTATTACAGTTTTGGTGGGGTGGGGCACAGCTAGCAGGGCTGGGGGACCAATATAATAGCTCAGGGTTCAAACCAAGGTTGGCCACACGCAAGACAAGTGTCTTATGCCAATACCACCTCTTTGGCCTTGACTTTTTTTTTTTTTTTTGCTTTTTGGGCCACAACCAGCAATGTACAGGGGTTACTCCTGGCTCTGCCCTCAGGAGTTACTCTTGGCTGTGCTCAGGGGACCATATGGGATGCTAAGAATCGAACCCGGATCGGCCACGTGCAAGGCAAATGCCCTACCCGCTGTGCTATCTCTCCAGCTCCCGATTGACTTTTATTCTTCTGTAGCATTTTCTGTGACCTGAATGAATTCAGTAAACCAAGGGGAACTGGATATAAAAGTCATTTCTACAATTTATTAATAGAAGTATATAATCTCAAAATGTTAATACAAAACTTTGTAAGAAAAAAGCAGAAACATATAGTATACTCTATATGTAAATCAAATATTAACATCATTAGCAATAGCCAATTATACCAACTGCCAGTCATGAAAGGAATTTAAATTGTATGTATGTGGATACATATATGTGTGTGTATTTATATTATATGTCTGTACATACACACAAGAGATGCATGGCTACTTTTAAGAATAGATGAAATAATGAAGTTTCACTAAGAGTATTCCAAGTAGCTGGGACAAGAAGAATGCAGATAATGTAACAGCTATATAAATACTCCAGAATTTGCGAGTGTTAATAATTTTATGTGAAAAATGAGAACATACTTTAAGGCTGGGAATGTATTAATAGTAAATCCTGTGTCTTGCATGTGTATGAAACCTGGGTTTGATACCAAGCACCATATACACAAAATAAATTTTAAAAGTATCATATG